ATACAGAGATTCACAACACAATTTTGGATTAAACGAAAACAATCATATGTTGAAGATGATTATCAAAGTCAATATATTATGGACCACCTTCGTTAGAAGAAATTTTTTTATAAAGACAAGGAATGGTCAAAAATAAACAAAACAAATGGGAAAAAATACCTCCACAATATATACCTAAACTATTTACTTTTCCAACAAATTCATATATTCTTTCTATTGATTGTGAGCAAAATCCCGAAGCAAAATTCAAGAATGGAGTAATAAAATGGGAATTCAAATTCAACTAACTAAAGAATTAAGAAATCTACATCCAAAATTTTTTCTTAATTATATTATACATAAAACACAGGGCAATACATATCGTTTCCTTTCATCTCTCGATGAAACAGAGACGATGATGATAGCAACCACTGCTGCTATGGAAACATTTAAAAATGTATTAAATCGACTTATTCAAGAATTCATAGGAAAACAAATAGAAGATAAAACATCTCAAGAAGATTTTCAATTAGAATCATTATGGCATCTAACTAACTTACAAATTTGTAACATGTGTTATTTAGACCCATTTATATGCGAATATTCTGAACATTATTATAATCTAGATTTTACTAGAAAAAGATAGCATTAGACATGTTTTACCAAAAATTACCATCATTAGTAAGTCAAAGTGTAATAAAAGATTTCCAAGAAGCATTACAACAAAATAAAATTGCAAATACCTTAGGAGCAAGGATAAGTATATTAAAAGCATGGATGCAGAAAAAATGTTTAGAACAAAAAACAACACAAGATGCAAGAATTGATTTATACTGTGATACCTTATTAATAAAGTTAATCAATATGGTTGTAAAGATAATAAAAAAACAAAATATAAAAAGAAAATTTGGAAAAAACAAACTTATAAACCTAAATATAAACAATATTATAAACAAGGTGAGAGAAATATTTTCGAGATAGAAAACAATATAAGAAAAATATGAATCTAACACAAATTACTGTCCATCTAATAAAAAAGATTGTAAATGTTGGATATGTCAAGAAGACGGACACAAAGCCTACGGATGTCCAAAAAAGACTAAAAAAGAAAAAGAAACAAACTTATTAAAAATTGCATATGATCTCGAGTATGAACCTATAGAAGACTCAGGAATAGATTCAGATATAAATATTTATGCATATACAACTGTACTGATACTGATTCAGGTAAATAGTCCTATAAAGAAAACATTATTGGGTTTAGAACATGAGAGAAACCTCATATCTAACCTATCCAAAGTATACATTGCTAAAGCATATATTGGTATGAAAATACCATCCAAAGTAAACAATGATAAAGTATACAATGATATGAAAATATCACCAAAGCATACATTGATATGAAAATTCTCATTTCATCATTTAATATATTAAAAGCAAACATCAATTTGCAATTATTCAGGTACCCAAAAGGCGCAAATATTCATTCAGCAGAAATATTGAAATGGAAGCCATCATGAAGCAAGTCAAACACCAGTTCAGACAAAAAGAAGAGCAAGAAGCATCATTAATCACACAGCTTGAAATAGTCAAACGTGAAAAAGAGCACCTACAACAAACAATACAAATTCTATCATCTTATTCAACATCTAAAGAAGAAGCAGTCAGCAGCTCAACAACAAAGCAACCAAAAGAAGAAATTCAAGAAATATCATCCGATGAAAGTCAACCACAAATAGCACTCGAAACAGAAAAAAAAAACCATGTCACCAAACCAGGATGAGTATCCACCACTACAAACAGATCATAAAAATATAAAGAAATGGTACGTAATTTTCAACGGAGAAAACAAAGGAGTATATGACGATTGGGGAATCGCCAGTTCATATATTCTTGGAAAAAATATCATTCACAAAAGTTACAGAATGAAAAATGAAGCAGAAACCGCATACAACGAAGCATACAAAGCAGTAATAAAAGATAATGTCGAATGTTGAAAAACAGTTCTCCTAACATCCCAAAAACCTATATCCAGCTTCACACCACAAAACCTGTATCCATCCCAAGATCCCTTAACCAATTAAATGCAAAAATTGCCCTTGAATCCATTCTATCAACCAAAGAAAAAGAAGCCATGAAAAAACCATCTGCCCAAAAATTTGCCGAATTATTGGATAGCCTCATTTCATACACCGAAGTCCATTCCTTGATGGGCTTTTACCCAGTAGCCAGACGCCCAGGTCCTAAAGCCGTTTTCTTAGCCGACTTATCAGATCCTATGACTTTATGGGATTATTTTATTCATGGATTCATCGACACCATCTATCTAGAAGGCACCAATTTACATTGCATCAACGAGTTCCCTTTTGCTGTGCAAACTATCATTAGAAATTATAAAATACAATTTGCAAAATAGGAAAGAGGATTATTCATTAAAATGCATTCTAGCTATCCAATTTTTGATGAAGACTCTCAACTAATTGTCCCAAGTATTACTTTCGCAAACATGGGAATAAGCAACGACTCAAAACCAACAAAAGATGATCTACCACGAGAATCACCAACACAGGAATATCTAATTTTTGCACTCGCCGGTGTCTATTTACCATCATCACGTATAGGCAACGGTAAAGATCAAAAGTCAAGAATCAGAGTGAATTACGCTAGTAAAACTTTCATTATCTATTCGTTAACAGACAGTGAAATCACTCCGGAAGCAATACTAGCAATTGAAACCTTCGAACAACCTTTCGAAAAGTTTTCTCATCAATTAGCTGAATTACCTGCTGATATCAAAAAACAACTTTGTAAACATATTATGCATGCACCAAGACACAATTGCAGTCACTGTTCAGAAAACACAGAAGAAACACCATTCATGGAAGATTAACGATAAAATAAAACATTATTCAAAAATATGTCTTTTTGGAGGTGGGAGAAAGCAATCATTATTAAAGAAAACACATCATTGAAGACGTTATTGAAGACACCTGTCCTTTCAACGTGGAAGGAATTATTATATTGTTATTTTTATGTAATTAAATAGAAGTGTCGGTAGGATAATTATTAAGTGTCAGTTGTATTATTTGTAATGTAACATAAAGTGTGTAACCCTCAATACTCTAGGGGCTATAATGTAAATATGTGTGTCGTTTTGCAATCAAACGATTGCAACCCAATTATGTAACCAGCTCCTTCAAGCCTATAAATAGGGCCTTCGCCCATATGAAATAAACAAGTTAAGTTTGAGTGTTTAATACTTGAGTTGATCTCAAAGTTTTTCCTCTGTTGAAATAGTTTGTCTATTTCTGAATAGGAGAGCCCTATCCAAACTATCCACATAAACATTCAATTATTCAACACAATCCATCATCAAGACAATCCAACGCATCAATCAGGTATAATCTTATCCTAATATTTATTTATCCGTCATGTTGTTAAAATTGGTATCAGAGCAATTAATCCATCATCATGTTATTGCATAATTCTCATGTCTTGACTCATTTTATTATTTGTATAATATATAAAATAATTGTTTTTTAAAAGTGGCAGGGGCTCAAACAATGAAACAAAGTTAATTAATGGATGTGGGTTAATTTTTCTATTAGTAGGCTTATAATATAGCAAAAAAATGATAGCCCTAAGCCCTAGTATCTTTGTTGATTATGTGAATATGGGCCATACATGAAGATAAAATGATGGAGACATACCATATCTGAAGAATTTTGGGTAAAGGTATGGTTGGGTCCGATTTAACTATAGATTTCAAAGTGGCCATGGAATTTGCAGAGATTGATTAATTAGTTCATGGAAAGGAGAAAGGGGTTTTAGTAGGTAGGAGATGAGAACAAGCGCGCGCGCGCGGGGGGGGGGGGGTATAATATGTTTGGGATTTGATTTCCCCCCATAGCTATTAAAGAACGCGCGTTTAATGAAAACTTTCTAAAACAACATGCTTAGACGACACACCTTGTATGCTGAGTGCCTTTTTTTTTTTTGTTCTAATACTAGTTTTAAGGGCACGCAAAAATCCATGTCCTAAATCCTTAAAATTTTAGAAGAGATGACGTTATTTTTAGGACACACACTTTTTCGTATCGTAAATCACTGCGTATCATGGTTTGCGCGTCATTAAAAGCCTATATTCTAGTAGTGGTGGCAAATGCTCAATCGATTACACTCAGAAGAGGGATAAGTATGATTTCAAACTACTCCACTAGTTAGGTGTCCCTAGTGTAACAACGTAAATTTTAAAACAAATTTTTCATTTTTGCAAACATTAAAACCATCGTTTAATATTCCGAATTCAAATGAGTAACAATGTTATCATAACAAAATACATCCCATGATCATAAAAACAATTCCTACGTTAGTGTGTACAATCACATCGGTGCCTTCCCACGGTCCTCGCTAGTACCTGAAACACATAACACAACAAATGTAAGCATAAATGCTTAGTGAGTTCCCCCAAAATACTACTTATGCACATACGCCTTTCCAGGCCCTGACCTTCCGGTCCATGTGAAACAGTCGGGTGCAAATGGATCTTCAAAAAGAAGACCGACATGGAAGGAAAAGTGCATACTTATAAGGCTCGACTGGTTGCGAAGGGTTTTACTCAAATTCAAGGTGTTGATTATGATGAAACCTTCTCGCCGGTGGCCAAGATTAAGTCTATTAGGGTTATGTTAGCCATTGCAGCATTTCATGATTATGAAATATGGCAAATAGATGTCAAAACCGCTTTCCTTAATGGAAAGTTGGCTGAGGATGTGTACATGAATCAGCCAGAGGGTTTTGTCAATGCAGAGTACCCTAATAGAGTATGCAAGCTTGAGAAATCCATTTATGGATTAAAACAAGCATCTCGTAGCTGGAATCTTTGTTTTGATGAGAAGGTAAAAGAGTTTGGCTTCTGAGAAGCGAAGATGAGTCTTGCGTGTATGTCAGAGCTAGTGGGAGTATAGTTAGCTTCTTGGTACTGTATGTGGATGACATACTACTCATAGGAAATGACATCCCAACCTTGCAGGAGGTTAAGTCCTGGCTTGGGAAGTGCTTTGCTATGAAGGACCTAGGGGAGGCTACCTATATCCTAGGGATAAGGATATTAAGAGAAAGGAGTAGAAGACTAATTGGACTTAGTCAGAGTATCTACTTGGATAAGGTGTTGAAAAGGTTCAACATGGAGAATTCCAAGAAAGGAGATTTACCGATCCAAAGCAATACCAAACTGAGTAAGACTCAGAGTCCGAGTACAGAGGCAGAGATAGCTGAGATGAGCCAATTACCATATGCTTCCGCAGTTGGCTCGATCATGTATGCTATGACTTGTACCCGTCCTGATGTGGCATTTGCTTTGAGCATGGTCAGCAGGTATCAGGGGAACCCTGGCAAGGCTCATTGGACCGCGGTAAAGAACATTCTCAAGTACCTGCGGAGGACTAAGGATTGGATCCTTACCCTTGGTGGCAGTGATGACTTGAAAATATTAGGGTATAGTGATGCTGGTTTTCAGACTGATAGGGATAATTTCCGCTCTCAGTCGGGCTGGATCTTTACCTTAAATGGAGGGGCAATTTCTTGGAAGAGTTCCAAGCAGGAGACGGTGGCTGATTCGACTTGTGAATCAGAGTATATAGCAGCGAGTGAAGCAGCGAAGGAGGCGATATGGCTAAAGAACTTCATCGGAGACCTTGGAGTTGTACCAGCTATTAAGGAACCTATAGAGATTTTCTGTGACAACAATGTGCGGTTACCTTAGCCAAGGAACCAAGAGATCATGGCAGATCCCGACACATTGACAGAAAATATCACTTCATAAGACACAAGATTGAAGAAGGACTCCTTGTGACAAGGAGGATATCGTCATGAGAATCCTGCAGATCCCCTTACGAAGGGACTGACGAGGGTTAAGCATTTTCAGCATGCGAGACGCATCGGGCTGAGGGACGATATTAGTTTTACAGATTAGATAGTTTTCCTGAAACTTGTAAAATGTAATCGACGTTTGATGATGAATAAAATTTGTGATTTATTTATGAGTAAAGTGTTACTATCATTGTCAATTATTTACTATTGTTTCAGTTTTGCATGTTTTGACTTCCAGAATAATTAATTTATTCAAACCTCCACAATCGATCATACGTCGGAAGTAGGTATGAATCAAGATTGTCATGAATTGGGTTTGTAGATGCCTTAAAGGTGTTTAGACATGGCAATGGTTGCTGCAACATTCATGAGTACTCATAAGTTATGAGTATTGGTATAAACCCACGCTCACTTGTATCACTTCATGGAATTTATCTCGAGTGATCGTGAGACGATAACATCATATAAATCTTTAAACCTAGAGATATGAGTTGTTACCTATGAGTTGGTTGTGCATTGATTGCACGTAAACGCATCAGTAACTTGATGTTATAAAACGTGCCTTTGTGTACAATTCAATAAGTAGTAGAACAAGCATATCAGTCGAAGTTTATCTGTTCCTTCTAGAAATAGAAGCGATATCTGGGCCCCTCGATGATTTTGTGTTGACCCATGTACCAGGCCTGGTCAGAACTAAACCGATGTGTTCAGTGAAGTTCTTCGTCAAACAAATCGGAAAATCGAGAAACAACTGCTAGACAATAAGCAAGACATAGTTCCATGTGTTTGTCCGGCTGATATCATGAGAACAGAGGATTATGTGATCACTTATCTAAAATGGCGCTTCATAGTTCGACAGAGTCTTCATTGTTCGAGGGAGTTTTCGAGAGCTACGATTGTTGGTTGGTTCCTGAAGTTATAGGCAAATATAGTTATTAGACTTATCCAAGTGGGAGTCTGTTGGATAAGGTGTCTAAGTCCATAACTTATTTGGTATATACTTGACCCGACCGGCATGGTCCATTTGGGTTGCATCTCATCCAAACTATTATGGATAATTTTATGAGAGTTATACACATATGTTTATTAATATATTATGAGTTATAATATATTAATATGAAGTTACGTTATTTAATTAGTTTTAGTCTTAAATTAATTATGATTAATTTAGAGATTAAAAGGAATACTAATTAAATTATGGGCTATTTGTTTTTATAGTGTGGGCTAATACTCATTTGTTAATGGGCTAGGCTTATGTGGAAGTCCATGGATGATCCATGGAGCTTTTAACCCATGGATCCTTGGAAAAGGAAAAGACATGGGTTATTAGGGTTTCACCCTAACCATGCATACTATATAAGCATGCTTATGGAGCATGAAATGGAGCCTAAGAGAAAACTAGTGAACTAGTGTGTGTGTGCATGTGTGTGGCCGAATACAAGAGTGTGTATACTCTCTCAAAGTTTTCCAAGAGTTTGTGGTGTTTGTGATTCCATTTGAGGCATTCACACTATTGGTGCTTGGCCCTCAAACTCCTTAGAACCAAACTCACCAAAAGGTATGTAATCTCTTCTAACTCTTTTATGTTGAAATGTTCCCCATGCCATGTTAGATAGGTTATAAACCTTGGAAAATTATTATTTTGCATGTATTTAGACAAACATAGATCCAAGGTTTATTAGGGTTGCATGCACACTTAGGAAGTGTTAGATTGCTCAAAACCCAACAAAAAGACCATAATAAATATCATTTTAATTATTAAAGAGTTCCACAACTAGACTCTACATCGCCTAATCATCATTCCTCCGAGGGTAAAAGACCATTTTACCCTTCCTTGACTCAAAGTCTTCATGTTGACCAAAACCCTCAAAGTCAACAAAAGTCAACCTTTTGAGTACGCGGGCCGAACATCACCAACCCATGGATCAGGGTCTCCACCCGTACTGGGAGTTATGCCCAGTGTAACCATCAGACTTAAACATTCATCATTTTTGGTCTTAATCGGTTAAGCCATTACTC